AAAGATCAAGGTATAGAGTGGTGTTACTAGCTCCCAGAAGTTTCTGTGAAGAAGGAATTTTAAAACTAACTTGAGTGTGTGATGATATTGTCTCCAACTCAAAGATTCAGAACCTATTTTAGTATACGGAGTTTCTTGACTTTGGGAGAAAGAACCAGTAAGTAATTGATTGGGTATGTGACTCAGTAGTGAAGAACTTGTGTAGCATGCGCAAGGCCTTGTATTTGATCTCCCAATGCTGAAAAGTATAAATAAAATATGTAGTGTTGCTGTTATTATTAATAATAATAGTATTAATATTTGGCCAGGGTGTCATTATATGGCCTGATAGTCCTAGAACTCCCTATATAAATCAGGTTGGCATTGAACTCACTGAGATTCACTTTCCTCTGCCTTTTCAGTGCTGGGATCAAAAGCATACACGACCACCATACTGATACTATTACTATAGGTATGAGCTCCGGGAACCTCGGCTCTAGAGAAGCATTAGGGATCTTGCCTACAAGTACTCAGGATGGGAAAAAGGTTGAAGATGAGGCATGCATTTAATTTTGGGACAACATAGTTCTTCACGGGCATGGATAGACTGTTCATTTCCAGACCAGGAACTGACCCCAGGGGGAAGTCTGAGTAGATGCCTATAAAGGTGAGGTCCAACCCTTGAGATACTGCACTTTAGTGGTGCCCTTCTTGAATCCAAATATAGCTTGATAAAATTTCCCAAAGGGATTCTTGGCCCATTTTGTGAAGAGGTGCCATCCAGACAGCTAACATAGTCAGTTGATTACAAATTACAACACACATACACACGGGGGGGGGGGGGAGAAAGAGAGAGAGAGAGAGAGAGAGAGAGAGATCTACTCCAATGCTTTGACCCCCATTTTCCCCAGAAGTCACTCTTAGTGATGACTTTTTAAAAGTACAGAAAGAGGCTTCACTGTCCTGGCGTCGTAAGACAGTTCCCACTGACAGGTGTATTGGCTCAGAAAGCTATATTCAGACCCAGTGACTCAGACAGGGAAAAAAAAAAAAAAAAAAAAAAAAAAAAAACGCAAAAGTAACCTTGTGTGGCCCACAGAGGGGCAACTGCAGCCTGAGTTCTAGGTCTTGATCTATGTGAATGAGCGTGGCAACCTCCAGTACAAGCAGCTAAGTTGACTTAACTGTCATTACCAGAGGACCCCCGCCCCCTTTCCAGTTGCCTGGAAGCAGAACCATGCTGGGAGAAATAATCAAGGCATTGACCATGACTTTGGAACACCATTCTCTGAGGTGAGGGGAAATTGGCAGTGGTTCTTGGAGTTTTTAACTATTCTGTCTTAGTAGCCATTAAAAAAAAAAATCACTCCGGTCATTAGCCCACCCTGGGTGTCCACCTCGGATTCCATTTCCTTCGTCTCCTCTGGAGCTCTATGAGGTGGCCCCACTTCTCTCCCTCCCAAGCCTAGGCAGAGGCAGGAGGTGAGGCTAGAAGCCCAGGGCTGTGCCCCCAGACCTTGGACCCTGCCGTATCCGCTAGGAGAAGTCACAGGAAACGCATTTACCACCTGGACGACCTTGACTGCAGCCGATTAAAGTTTAATCCGAGGTGTGTGCTCAGCCTTGCCATGTTATTTAAACACATCAAAGGTCATAAAAAGATTCCAAAGGCTTGAGCAGGGCGACTCGGACCCGCAGGGAGCCAGTATTTTATTCTAGTTGGCTTCCAGGGCTAGGATTTGGAGAGTAGGGGAGCAAAGGGGCGGTTAGAAACAAAGGACAATTTTTGCTTTCCCAGAGAAACTCCAGATTCCAAAATGAGGCCGGGGAAACCAAGTCTCAGACGCAGGGGCAGACAACGCTCTGAAATTCCGATTAACTTGGAAGACATCTAGTGGGGAGAGATCGCAACTGCAGTGACGTCCTCGGAGCATCCGCTGCCTCTGCCAACCCGCACTGCAGGCCTGCTGGGCTACTGGGATGAGGTACCAGGCCACCAAGAGTAGCCAGTCTCTCCCGTGCAGTCTTTAAGCCGGCCACATGCTTACTCAACTATCAAAGATCCCAGAGCGGAGTGCAGAGGGGTCATTTCCACTCTGAGAGCAAAGACCCAGCTCTGGTGGACCTTCTCTCCAGGTTGTGGTTCTAGTATCCAGCCGATGGATGACGTGTTGTCCAAGATTCCTGTTCTGATCCAACCCTTCCGGAAGCGCCTGATCCTAGATTGGGAGGAGCCCCACATACCTATATGTGGCTACAGAGTAGAGTCGCTTAAGGTCAGAGGCAAGAAAGACAAGCCTGCCAGCTTTGGACCGCAATCCACTAGGCAGTTAGCCGACGGCAGGGGGTCAGCTACCCAGGGTGCTCAGGGAGCATTATCAATTCATCTCCATTGTGGAATCCTGAGACCAAACCTTAATCTGTGGAAATGGAGGACAGTCAGGCTACAACAACAACCCTGTGGAAACAAACCCCACATATGAACTACTTTCTGTCCTCTTCCTCTCCCAGCTCTAGCAGCAGCTGGAACTTTCCGGCCAGATCAACATTCTGTGCTTCAGAGATGCCAGATGTAGTTTCTCTGGGAGCTGGCTTCATCTGCTTCAAGAAAATGAGGATATCCTAATCTCGGGCAGCCTCCTGGGGGGTGTCTCCATTTGTTGTGGTACCCCTTCATCCTAGAATTGTCAGGGCAAGGGTAGCATCAGGATGTCACTTGTCTTTGTGATTAAAAGGTGGCGGTGATGGGGGAGGGGGACTAGAAGGCTGGCTTGGTGGTTAAGAGCACTTGTTCTTGCAGAGGACCCGTGTTCGGTTCCCAGCATCCGCCGCATGGTGACTCACAACCATCCATAACCCCAGATCCAAGGGATCCAATAGCCACACACATGGTGCACATACATGCATGCAGGCAAAACATTCATACACATAAAATAAATAAACCTTTGAAAAACTAAAGAGAAAGCCAAGAGACACTGCTCTACATCCTCTTCTAATGTATGAATCCCAGGATGTTGTGAAGTCAAAACTGGATCCCAATGCAGGACCCTTCTGGAGGTGAAGGCTGCCAAGGCCATGATGGCTTCTGGGAGCTGCCTCTGTAGAAAGGACTACACATCCAGTCTTGTTCATTGGCGGGACCAGGACTACCCATGGCTTTGGGAAATGGCCTCTTCTCGCCGGTGCTTCCCACCAAGTAACTTTCTCTACATCTACACATAATCCTATCTGAGCTTGGACTCCCCTCAATTCTCAAAGGAGGGTCTTTATTTACTGCCAGCTTCTTAAAAAAATAATTAAAGATTGGAAATGGCAGATGAGACCATTCGTGGCAAAATGCCTTTACTGCTTTTTCATAAACAGTAGCCAGTTCTCTTCACATCCTCCAAAGACTACAAAGTCTATGGCTCTCACCACAGTCCATAGTACCACCTATTGGCTAGATCCCCTCACATAGGAAACTCCCTTAGGTTTTATTGACTCAGCTACAGATTACTGAAGCAGCCCTGGGTAGGGGCTGGCAGGCAGGACAGCAGCTGAATTAACCAGAGACCTGAGTTGCAAAGGAACCGGGCATCCGGGGATCCGAGGGCCAGGAGTAGCCCAGGTCCCATGCTGAGTTGAGATGGACTGGTGTGCTGTTTGGAGTCTTTCTGCTCCCTCTCTCATCCCAACCGTGTGTGCACTACCTGAGAAGTCCCCTCACCTTGGCCAGCCCACGGATAAACACTGGACTTCTAGCTAGATTCTTACACAGGTCCCACCACCACACATGCACCACGCTCTCCTTTTCCTAGCACAAGCTGTAGGGACTTCTATTCCTGGGGTGACAAACGAGTCTGCTTGCTCTCAGTGACATCAAATTACTTTGCACCAGCCAAGGGTCCCATGACCCTACATAACCTCACATTAGATCCTAAAAATGTAAAGAAATATGGCCTTTTTAAAAGTGGCTGAGAGCAAGTAATTGCTAGCAGGCTTGAGGGGCTGTCCCCACCTCAGCTACCGACCAAAGCAGATCCCAGCTGGAATTCACACGCTTGGCCTCTATAGACAGAAGCTCAATTTTGAATTTAACTCCGGGCCCTAATCAGGTCCTCAGAGTTCAAATTATTTTTGTGTAATTAGAGAAATCACAAGGAGACTTGAAGCCTGGGCTGCAAAAGTGGGGCCTGAGTGGGTGGTAGGGGCTGGGGGTGCAGAGACAACACAGCCAGCTAGCTTCTGGAGAGACGGGGCTTCCACGTTAATTTTAAAACAGGCCTTTCTTGGGTTGCCATGGTGTAAATGTTTTGTCAGGAATTATGGCTCCATTGTTTTCTCATTTCCCTTTTCTCTCTCTCTCTCTCTCTCTCTCTCTCTCTCTCTCTCTCTCTCTCTCTCTCTCTTAGTGTCTCCTTCCCTTTTCCCTCTTCCTCCGAATATTTTATATTCTTGATTCTGTAGTCTTTGCCCCGACCTTGACCCAAGCTTTTACTCCCTTGGTGAACTTCATTTGAGATCAGGAGACCTAGGACACCCACACTGTCGTCAGCCACTGTGCCCTAGGCCACTCAAGAGCAGATTTGTGAGAACCCCAGGGCTACAGTCAGGGAGGAAATGCCCGAGGAACATTTCTAGGGCTTTCTGCCACATACTACTGGAACTGATAGAAATTGACATAAAGTATAAGCACATACATTCTCCTGTTTAATTTATACATCCCTTATGAGTTTAGTCAAATAGCACTTTGCTGTGAACAGTTACATATACTTACTGTAAAAATCATCCCAGATATTTAGCAGCAAAAAAAAAAGGTAATTTAAAAAAATTCATAAACAACCTAATACTTTGGCCTTGAAAAGAAGCTGGACTGGATGGGGATGAATCTTATTAAGCAGCTTCAGGTTGTAGGATTTGTCAAACTTAAGAATTTCAATAATTTGGTTTTGCCATTTTGGTTTCTAAGGTTGCCAAGACTTTTAGTTAAACCAACTTCAGAGTTTTCTGGAATCATGTTCATTTTCAAGTAGATCATGGAATGAATAAAACAGCAATGCCTTTATTCACTTTTTTTTTTAAATCTCTTGTTGTAGAAGGGATATTTTTTAAAGTACACAGAACTGTGTTTCTTCTGAAAACCATGATAACTTTGGTATCAATCCAGTACAACTCTCTCCTCATAGTTTAATCATTAGAATTTTCTTTGGAGTTTCTACAGGGAAGGGAATGTTTTGAAATAGGAAATAGTCATTTGCTCAAAATGAAAATGTATCAGTTTAGGACATAAGCAGTACTGGGTTATAGTTCTCACACACACCCTAATCTTAAGGGAATGACTGAAATCTTCAGTGAAGGGGTGACTCACAGAAAAGGTTGATATAAGTCCCCTTAGGCATGTGTAATTTTTAAAAAGAAGACACATACAATTTCAGATAAGATCCCAAATCGTTTTGTTCCAGGTTCCTTCTCAGTGAAACCTTGGGCGTTTTTGTTTGTTTGTTTGTTTTTTGGGTTTTTTTTTGTTTTTTGTTTTGTGTTTGTTTGTTTTTTTCCCCAGTCCAAAACTGAAACAACTCCCTTTTCTCAATCTTGAAATATTCTCAAAACCTTCTAGTGTGAGTAAAGCAGTTCAATGCCTGGAATTTAATTTAATTTTAAATATTCAAAAAAAGAGTGCAAGGTAAATAATCATAAGGTTAAAGGTAAGCTGGGCATAGCAGGGCTTTTTACACTTTTGTGTCTATTCAGGGAAATTATATTTTAAATCATAATTTTAATTGTATTAGGCAAAGAAAAATGTTTTCCCTGCAAGGGAGGGGGGAAAAGTGGTCAGCTGTGCAGCCCCTGGAATTGCCCACGTACTCCTCGGTTTCCAGAAACAGAAAGACCTTGCGTATTTTCTTTCTTTCCGACATGCTTTCTTTCCTCTCCAGGCCAGCTCTTTTTTATCCCAGCCCATAAGCAGACTATCCAAACCCAAGGTCGGGGGCTGATTAGCGAAGCTTCCGTACCCAGCTACCCTCACCCGAGTGTAAATACCTATAAAAACTAATATCAAAAGTTCTTATTGAGCTTCTCCATTTCTCGGAGCATTGGGCCACGCAGGCTCCAGTCCCGCAGACAAAGGGATTGCAAGCCAGAGGCTCCCTCACCAGCTTGAGACTGCTCAGTGGGGTTCGGAGCTACATAAAGATTCTAGGGGAGGACATCCGAACCAGATAAATGCTGAGGGCCGCCTGACCTTCAGTGAAGACAGGTGTATTTACAGTATTTACAGAGACAGGAGGGATGGCCGGTGGTCTGAGAAATCGGAATGGGACCGGAGAAGACACTTCGGCCACCAGGCTGATTTGACAAGGTGATTTTTCCCCCTTAGGACTTGGTATAATGACTGTATTTCGCCAACAACATATCAGACATGCATTCACTACGCGTGTGCCTGTGCGTGCGTATGAAGGCACACATCGTTATGATTACAGTATATACCGTGCCTGTAAAATCTGATTACACCTCAGTGTGTACTTGAATGAAGGGGTCTTGAGTTTCCCCTTTCTCCTTGGTGGTGAGTTTCCACCCCTCTGTGGCTTTGCCTATTAAGACTCCACAACCAGATCAGGAGCGTGGGACCAGTCCTTACAGGGAAGGACTCCTGTGGGCCCAGATCTCCTAGCTAATTTCTCATAGAGAAACACCGAGCCCAAAAGGACCAGGCTTACGTGCAAAAGCCCTACTTCCTCCGAACTCTTGAACGTCTTCGGTGTATTTGTTGACATAAAGAATCCACAACCCGGCGCTGGCTTCCTGTTTTGTAGCGAGCAGTGAGCATCCAACCTAGGGTTGGAGTGGGGGCTGGTGGCGTCGGGTACAGCGTCCTGGTCCTTTTCACGTGGCAGCTTCAGGCGCTGGGTTACCAGGAGGTACCGAATTCTGCCAGCACTCGGTCCCAGTGGCAGCGAGCTCACTCCCAAAGTGGCTTGGGCCCCCCCGCAGTCCCACAAGCTGGTCCCTGTCCTGGCTGCCTGCCACTCCCTGTGGAAAGGAGCGTCCTCCTTCAGATTGAGCCTCTATTTACTGGAACTCGGTCCCTGTGCCTCCAACTCACATTCGAGTCCTTAGGTGAAGGCTGAGTTTCCAGATCTGGTGGAGGGCGGCGCAGTGACGCAGCCGCCGCCTTTAGGACAGGGGAGGCTCCTGCCACCATCTAAGCTCAGGGTGCAGAAGATTGCTCCTCACCGCTGCCTGAGCCCCGCTGCTGGTTCTTCTAAAATGGGGGTGTGGAGGAGCTGCCCTCTCTCTCTTCTTTGGAACTGTAAAAAAACAGGCCAGTGATGTAACTGGGGTCCTCTCTGAGTTTCTGCTATCTTTCCTTGTGTAAGCCTCTTTCCCCGTGGCTGGCTCCCGGCTGGTTTCGCTGTACCTGGTTCAATCTGGCAGGCAGTGAATAGGCCACTTATCCAATATTTTGCTCTCTTCAAAGTCCATCCTGAGGTGATCTTAGGTGATCTTAGGGGCAAGGTCTGTGGTTTTCTTCCCTGACTTCCCACTTCCACTTTTCTAAGCCTTTGGTCACCGTAGCCCAGAGTTATTTCCCATGTTCCAAAATTACCCCCACGGCACCAGACCTGTCCTTGACTTCATTATTGCTTCACTCTAGAACAAAACCTCATATGAGTGACTCAAGCTATGACATTCCCCTGTGCTCAGCCAGCCCAGAATCCCGGACACCCTTTCTCCTCCACAAGCCCAAGACACTGCTTTCACCCTGGTGCACACAGGCTTGAGGACCCTCCAAAACCACAACCTCCCCCTTGCTCTGTTCTTTTGGGCACTGCCTTCTTTGGGGATTTCTCCTTCCTCTCTCCTAGGCTCCTCAGCTCCCTCCCCCTTCCGCATCTTTCTTGCCTTGCCATTATCTCTTTGCCCCCAGCCTGCCTGGGATGGAAGACAGAGGGTTAAGACGTCCTGCAAATGCAGCTCATAAAGCGGCTTGGATACATTAGAAACACATGAATATCCCGAAATACAAAGTGTCTTTAAAACCAAACAAGGAATGTTTATCCTAATACCAGATCAATGCAAAGAAGGGCTTCCAGAGAGCAGCGCTGACAGCCTCCTTGGGGTAAAGCGAGAGCAGGTAAATTTCATTTGCTAATGAAAATCAAACTCGATTAGACCTTGGTTTCCCTTTGTCCTGTTCTTCTCCAACCCTAGGAACCCAGGGCCCTGTCGCCCTAGTTGGTAAGGAGTCCTCTACCAAGAAAAAAAAATTGCAACCAAGGTCTCAAGCCAGATACAGGAGGGCTGTCAAAGTCCATGGCCCCTGGCTTGCCCTAGTAAAAACCAAGAGCAGGAGAAAAGCTATGGAAACTCCTGGAACAAAGGCCAGGCTGCAGCCATGCTGCCCTCAAAGGGCTTCGCTGAGAAATCTGGGAGCATCAGACAAAGCCTGGACAGTAACAGAGACTTGTCCAGCTCCCACCCTTGGCTTGGCGCTAATGACCACTGCGGCCTGAAGGTCATCGTGGGTGCTCTGGCTTCTCTTTTCTGAGCCATGGGGAACCCGGGGATAAAATGGCTAAGGTGCTGGTGCTTCGGCCATATCTTAGAAGAATCCTAAGCCTGGGAGACAAAAAGAGCTCAGAAAGTCAGGCCCTGCTAGCTGGATGGACAAACAAAATTTGCCTGTGCCTTTGGGAAATGAGGAAGAACACTGGAAGAGACTGCTGGTTTTCGGAGAGAGCGCCAGCCTTCATCCTCTTCCCTTTCTTTTCCTCCCCACACCAAGCTGGTTTGGAACTGCCTGGGGCATAGTATTAGAAATCATTAATGAATCTCTTCTCTCCCTCTTTGAAAGATTGAGGGATTATTCTTGTTTTGAAGGGAGTAGAAATTCTAGAAAGTCTTATCCCAAATTATTCCCAGAGTGCATTATAATTCGAGAAACAATTTCCAGTGATGCCTACAGCTCGACAATGCAGTCATTTAAAAAATAGCAAAGACACAACACAGAAGGAGGAAAAAAAAGAGTCAGATGTGCCAAGATGCCATTGACACACGCCTGGGAGAAAATCGCATCAGTGTATGAGACAGGAGGAAAGCAAGGAGGCTGCCTTTCTCTAACTAATGCCGTCTTGAGGTTTTTTGTTTGTTTGTTTGTTTGTTTAATTGATAAGAAAACATAAACCTCAGTAAGTCAGAGCCAAAGCCTTCCACGGTGGGGATGCCACGTGTAGGAAGCAAAGCCCAATGGATTCAAGATGCGACCCAAAGCCTTCCCCTGCTCCATTCTCCCCAGACAAACCTGTTTCTGGCTCCTCTGCGGAAAAGATGAGATCCTTTCTCACCATTTTTGGAGTGGAGCGACCCAGCCGACTTTGGCAGTCTGTAGAGCTGAGGCCCTTCCTCTGAGTGCAAGGCTCCCGGCTCCAGAGAAATGAGGGGGAGGGAAGAATGTGGAGCCGGTCTTGGCTGCTGTGTGGACCAGCAGTCCTGCCATTGCCAGAGGCGAACTGGCACAGGAATCTGCTGGTGGAGGCTTCCCGAGCTGTGTTTTCGTTTTTCCGAATCTAGTTGGAAAACTTCGGAGGCTCAAAAACCCAGCTAAGAGCAGGGCAGCGGCAGAGAAGAATCAGTCCAGTCCGTAAAACACCGCCCCCAAAACTCTACAAAGAGCAAAAAATGGTGTTGAGGAGCCAAACAGAGCCAGAGACTAGAAAAGCAAAGGATCGTGGACTGGAGAGTGAGGGGAGGTGGGCGGTCGGCCTCCCTGCTGCCCCCAGACCCCAGGCTTTCATTGAGGTTTCTCACGCTGACTAGACAGCAACTTTCAACTTGACCTTGGCCTCCAGCCGCGTCTGACCTGTATGTAAACTGCCCTCAAGCCCTCAAGTCTGCGAGGACTGGAGCCTGGAACCCTACTTGGTCTCTTTGTCACCGTGGAGTTTTACAATACCACTTAGAGGGAGGAAGGAGTCAACGGGAAGGATGAATAGGGCTCCAAAGGAACACAAAAATCAAGTCTTCCCAGAGGTTTGTTCCTTAGTCTGCAAATGGCCAGTCAGTGAAAAGGTAAACTGGGGGCAAACCAATATTTACCCAGGACTGCTAAAAAGTCAGGAGAGAAAGGACGCACTGGGTGTGGGGGAGAATTGGGTGTGTGGGGAATCAGGGAAGGTTTTATTGGGCGACACTTAACATTAGTCAGAACAAACCCAGAATCTGGGCAGATAAAAGCCTGAGCCTAGCCTGATGGGTCCCAATCTTGCCAGAAGCCCAGGGGGCTTAGAGAGCAGCAGATGGATTGGATGATATATGTGTGGTGCCTTAACTTAGGGATAAGTCTGCATACACACTGGGACCCGAAGACAAGTCCAAGCCTGGCTGCCTACCAAAGCGCCTGAGACCAAAGGGTGCAGAACCGCTCCCAGCTTATATATTCCAGAATGCGCCCACTTTCGCTTTGATCGTTTGCTACCCTCTGGACATCTGGCCTGTTCACAGATGCACGGTCAGAAGTGGATACGGTCCTAGAGAGGCAGGGTCCCCCAGTATCCCTCACCAAGACACTGTGACTCTTCCAGTACAAACACCCCACCAGGCTCCCAGGTACAGGGGGACTCATCAGTCTGGCTGAGCTCCTACTGGGAGGAAAGGCATGAAATGACCCCAAAGGTCCCCTTTCTCTTTTCCCAAAATGGAATGCAACAGTGGATTCCCAGATGTCTGGAGAATCGCGTCCAACTCAGGATCTATGGAGTGGCTTGTAGGAAGCCCCAGAACTGGAGCTGGAGTCACAGCCAGCTGCCCAGCTGGGGCCTGTTCCTCTTAAACCCCTTCAGGAAAAGGCAGCCGGACTCAGGAGACAAGAGCAGGAGTGAATGGCTCTTCCTTCATCTGACATTCTCTGCAGACCAGAGAGAATAGTTGCTGCATCAAAATGAATAGTGAGCTGTGTATACAAGTGGGAGAATGTGGCGGTGTGCATCTGTGTGCGTGTGCGTGTGTGCACGCGCGCGCACGCGCGCGTGTGAGGGGAGCAGGGAGATACAATTGGTTGTTCTGATATTCTGAGTCTGTGGGCCTAATTGAAAGTGTCCTCCAGGGCCTGAGAACAGGGAAGAGAGCTCCTAAAATGAAGCCCAAGTTTCCCAGCTTTGTAATGTCCTAGGACCCTTGCGCCAGACTTCTCCCAGGAACTGACAGGAAACAAACTCCCTGCCCTTGTTCCCCAGGGGTAGGGGGAGTCAAATCTCGACGTGTCCTAGGCGAAAGCTCCGACATCCCTGGTAGGGTCTAAGCTGCGGAAAGGCGTCTCCATACCTGGAAAGAGAACAGCTCCAGAGGCCCCCCCCAAACACCCAGGGCCACGCTGGGCGAGTCCAACCCCATCTCACTCCTCCCTGGCTACTAGAGAATTTACCTGACTCGTCCCCCACGACCTCAGCTCTCACCCCAACCGCGGGAGCCCACGGCCCCTCCCAGCCTGCGAGCGATGCCCTGGTGCCCAGTGAGACCGGGGAAGGGATCGGGGTCCGCGAGGCGCGCGCCCTGTGTTCCCCACCCCACCCACCCGAGTCCCCCGCCTCCTCCGTGGGTGACTGCTGCGCGGCCGCGCGGCCGCGCGGCGGG